AATATTTATTAATTTGTCACAGGATTTATTTGATTCAATTTCTAATACATTATTATTAGAAGGTAGCAATGTGGTTAAATTTCTACAAGGTAAGAAGCCATAACCTTATTTGGGGAGGTCAAATTTATGATAAAACTAGTCTATAAAGTAGGATTTTCTAATTAGGTCAAACCTTTTCAAAGTTATGAAAATAATAAATTAAGGAAAAACAACCTTGTAACGAAAGTTTTAAAGGTAAGAAGTGTTTATCAGACTATCGATCAGGGTTAGAAGATAAAAAAAGGATTTTGAACAATTTTCCCACTTAGTAGTATAATCCTAAATTTTTTTCTTCTTTCATTCGTAGATTATAAAGCTTTAAAGATATTTGGAAATAGAGTAAGAAATTCGTTCGAATAAAAGATGCCTAGCAATAATATTTGCGCAAAATTATTGTAAATTCTTGAATTAATAAGGTTTCTTTTCGATTACTATATCTTATTTATAAACTAGAATAAATTTAAATTCTTATACCCTTACATGATATAAATGATTACATTACTTTGCAAAAAGTTGTGGCCACATGATTTTTGTGATTTTAGATTGTCTATTACTTTATATTTTCGATCAGTTACATTTATAATTCTTTGAAATCAGTAAAATAAAATCTATAGAATCTTCATGATATACTGCAGAGACCACATCTTTTTGCAAAGCCCAATAGTAAAAAGTGAGAATACAGCATACAATTTATTATTAAAAAAAAAATTTGATCGAAATTTGCTCTTACCTTAAAAACTCATAATTTAGACTGTAGGTAGCTTGTGGGTATCTGTGGCCTAAGAGGCTAGGGTATTGCTATTGCTGGCTCATTCAAAGATCTGAATTTGATGTTATTCATATAAAACTGTAAAACTGTAAAATTGTAAAACTGTAAAACTGTAAAAGTTGCTTGATATAACTGCAGAACTGTATAACTGTATAACTGGAATTTATCAAATATCTTAGAATATTCTGTTGATTTCTAGAATATCAATCATTTATATATTTAGAAATTCTATATTTAGTAAAATCTCTGACTATATAATCTAATCAATTACAGCATAGTTATATATATTTTTTATATATATAAAAAAACTGTTCTGTTTTGATTATATATACTACTGAAATAGGTTTTCAAAAAACTCCTATTTCATCTCTATTAGAGCAATTTGAAATTTTTTATATGCAATAGCAAATCTAATTTAGGTAATTATATTCTTTGTAATTTTGTCTCTTCAAAAAAAGTGTCAAAAAATTTCATATTTTAAGTAAAATAGGTCAAAAACAATTTCATCTTCAAATTTTAATTTCGTACTCTGAAACCTAAAATAATTTCATCAGCATGTATAGTTCTAATACTGATTTATATCTAGCAAAGCTTAAAATTCCCTTCAAAAAAATTGAAATTAGTAACAAAATCAACAAGATAAAAAAAATAAAAATTAAAAATTAAATATCTTACCTAAACCAAACATTATACATATATTTTTTAGTGCTAATTCACATTCAGCAAAGTTTAAACCTCAAGAAAATATAAATAACAAGACTAACAAGACAAAAAAAACTATACAAAATTAAAAGCTTATAATTTACTATCTGAAATAATAATCAAATCTCTATCTTTTCTATACTTCATTAGACTATCATTTTCAGCCAATATATTCCTAATATTTTGAAGAATATTTATTAATTTGTCACAGGATTTATTTGATAAACTTCAAAATCGTGATCGATCCAAATCACCTAAAGAAGGAATTAAAGAATTAATAATAGATAAAATTTCTGATTTTGTTAAAGAATGTTCAGACTTCTGAAGAATTGCTTCTTTGCATGTTATAGGAATTGGATGCCAAATGCCTAATGGAGTTTTGTTAATTAGTTTTGCTTTGATGAATTCTTTTATTTTCGTATATGCAATTTCTGTAAATTTTTTCATTTCTTCACTCAGTATTAATTCCCCACTTATATTTTGAAAACCACAATTATAAGCATTTGGATTTAAAAATTGAGTCTTTCTTATCCGAATCCGAAATTGACGTGATTCAGTAATAAAACTGGAGTGTATACGAGGTTTGTGTGTTTTATTTTTAGAATACCCTATTATGTTAAAAAAGTTAGTACACAGTTTCAAAAATTTTGTACAATTACGTGCTGCAATTTCCTAATGCCGTTGTGTGGGTATTGGAGGAATTAATGATTTATTAATTTCTTCAAGTATCACATCATGGCCTTGATGTTGATTAAGAAGTTCAGACCATGAAGTTACAATTCTTTCTTGGATTAAATTGTTTATTTCAGGCTTTAATCGTAAAATTTGTTTTTCATCAGTAATTTCAATTAATCAATAAATAGGATGCCATTGAGCTGACCAAATGGGAGCAAATATCCGTCTAGTCGCAAGTCTCAGTGAAGGTCTATTAAAACAAACTCCTGTGCGAAAGTTAATAATAGACTGTAAATATAAAAAAATTTGTTCATACTTTAATCTGAAAAGAAGATCTATTTGACTTTGGGCCCATATTAGATAACCTTCAACAGAAGGATTTTCTTCAGAAACAACATATGGTCACATTAATTCCGAAGCTATTGTGTGTCTATATATATTACATATAGAATCCCACGATTTATGATAGTCAGAATATTTTTTAAAAAATTGAAGCTGCTTTTTTGTTCGATATCCTTAACATTGAGCAAAATCTCTTATATTGATATCCCAGTTTAACTCGACAAACACTTTTAACATATTCATTTCCTCATGAAGAGTGCCTGAAATTAATAGTAAAAAAGATTTAAAATATTGTTTTACCAATTTAAAACAGTTAATGATTAAAGCCCAAATAGTTAAAACTGGATTTAATATATTTAGATCGCATTTTTAAATACATAATATAAAAACATTTGTCATTCCTACCTAGAATCAATATAAGCCAAGGGAAATCATTTTTTATTTTCTGTATATGATGAAATGATACTCCATCACAGGTGATTATGATCTATTTATGGTTACCATTTTTAATTCTGGCTATTTCTTCTATGTGCTCAAGGACCTTTCAACATTAGCAATCGAGTTTGGATTAATTCCTATCAGATCAGAAACTAATATTTGCAGCTTATGAATCTTTTTTTCTGAAACTGATCTTGATTCTCTAAATGTATGGGAATGAATAACTAGTGGTCTTTTAGTAGTATCTATAATCTTGGGTTGTTCATCAAATTGTTGATTTATATCAGCAATTGTTAGTAATTTACTATGACATGTAGAACAAACCCACCTCTTATTGTCGATATTAGAGGTCTAACAAACTGTACATTTTTTTATACATCCTATTTCACCTTGTTGTTGAACTAATTCATCAATCATATTTGTCTCTTGATTTTTTTCAATGCAAAGCTCCTCTAAAATAGTAGAAAAATAATTAGTAAGTTCTCTATAAATTTCATTTTCCATACTTGAAGTTAAATAGAACAATTTCTCGTATTGTTCTTGAGCAAGTTCAGAACATAACCAGGGATCCGTAATTTGAATATGATTATCGTGGTCATAATTAAATATAACAAAACTTGTAACAGTATGAAAAATTACTGTATTATAACTATGATCTAAGTAATTTTTTTGGCTCTTTTGTTCGTAATCAAAAGCCAAAAACAGAAGACCCTTAGGAATTAGTAGTTGTTCTATTGCCAAATCTTCTAACTAATTCACAAACTTTGTATACTCGCCAGAGCTAATAATATAATTATTAATATCAATAATCATTTTTGACCTAGCTAATGAGTATTTAATAGCTGACACGGCCAAATTAATAGCAGATATATACTTTAAATGCCTTGAATTATATATAGATTCAACCGCTACTGCATATTTAAAAAGCTTTTCTTCTTCATGTTAGTATTCGTTTTCATTATATATCAAAGTTTCTATAAACTTTACGATAACAGGATTTCGTTCAGCAAGCCACTTAGAAGGAGAATACTTTAAAAGATTGTTCAAGCTAAATCGCTTATTGTTTCTTATAAAGCTTATTATATCTTCATATAAACTGTCTCATTCCTTTTTAACAATTGCTATTATAGACTCAATACAATCTTGCTGGTCAATAAATCGTTCTTTTAATCTTTCTTTTAATACTCCATTTTCATATACTAATTGCCTATTAAAATTTTCTAGCTCTTCAATTCTCTTTAACAAACTCTTGCATGCCAGATCTAGAAAATATACTTGAACTCCAAAATCAGAAACATCATTTTTCAAATCGTCTGAGAGTCTTAATCTTTTAGTTACTGTTTCTTCTAAACCTAAAAAAACTAAATTATTAGCTTTTAATTGGTTAATAAAAAAACTTTTAGTAACAATCTGATTATAGTGTCTTTTGCATAATGAATAATGCACAAGAAAGTTAAGTAATGCAGATAATTCTGGAAAATACTTAGCTATTTCAGTAATTCTTTTTATTGCTGCATCAGATGATGCATGCCACCACCTTTGATTTGATTTAGTTTTACATTGTGCTAGTAGACTTTTTGGATATTTAATAGAAAAAGAGCTAAACAGACACGGCAAAATTCTGGCACTAGATCATGAATTCATTGCTAAGCACTAAATTTAAAAGTAAATTATAGGTATGGCTCAAGAAAAAACTGCTTTATAAAGTTTCGTGGATCCTTGTGGATTCTAAAAATATATGCATAGAAGAATATAACTTGGTAATTAGATTTGTTCTTAATATAATACTAGACCTGACAGGGGCTTTACAAATTTCTAAAATTTTTAGTAAAATGATTATCACATGCCAATCAAATTTCGAAATATGATTGTAAATCGTTCTAGAACCAATTTCTAAATTTAGTAAAATCCCTGACTGTTATATAATGTTATAGTCAAACCCTTTTATAGTCACACCTTTAGGATACAAAAAACTGTAATTATAAAGAGGTGTGACTAATATAGAGGTATTTTCTATATACAATCAATCCTCTCTATAGTTACCTCTTTTATAGTCACAAAATTGGTATAATTATTAATTTATTTTTGGGAAATTATAGGTATCTCTTATGGGAGATATATCTTTCAAATTCCTTTAAAGTCTATTTATGTTAGATTAGCGTTAGATTAAGGTTAGAGGTAAGCAGAGTATGTAGTCAATTTGCTCAAAAAAAACTTTTTATTAAAGCACAAAAGAAGGTTTTTTATGTGTTTTCTTGAAAAATAAACAATTTTTTCTTTGAACAAATGTTTGTTTTGAATTTTCTCAATTATGTTACATTACACTAAATTGTAGCTCGCTATTAGTAGGAGATATATATCTTCCTATAAAGATATATATCTCTCGCGAGAGATGTTTAGAAGCACCCTTTATTTTTACTAATTATTTATAACTATATATATAGAAAATACCTTTATATTAATAACACCTCTTTATAATCACAGTTTTTTGTATCTTGAAGATGTGACTATAGAGAGGTTTGATAGTAGTTATAAATAATTAGTAAAAATAAATTAGTAATTATACTAATTTTGTAACTATAGAGGAGGTACTATAGAGGAGGTTGACTGTATATAATAAAGAATAATATTATATAACAATTACATAATTATGTTTTTTTTTTATTTGTTTGGTTAATAGGTCAGAAAATTGAATGCTCATTTAATCTTGGCCAATTATCACAGTAAATTTTGATTGGTCAATTATGAGAATGCATAATTGTGCAGGTGTACAAAATTTTCAAACCTTTAAAAATATGATAAATTTTTTTAATAAATTGATCAATAAAATTTTAAAAATCTTAAATAGTACTCTTTCCTGTAAATCCTAATTTTATAAGTAAACAAACAAACAAAATAAAAAACAAAATTAGGACTAGCACTTTTACTTTATAACTATATAAATAACAACACAACTAGATAACTAGAACTTATTAAAATTAAACAGAATAGAGAGACAGCTTTCTGTACTCCAGTCTCCTTCCAAACCCTGTTGCCGACTACGTCAGCAACTAGCAAAAACAACAACAAGAATGACAAAAAACGTGTGCCAAGCTTCCAGGGAAATAAAACATGCCTTATACACATTGACATAGT